AAACAGAAAAGCATGGTGGTGGGACATCTTTATATATTTTTCGTCGATTACAGAATTGATTCTAAAATTCATTGCCCAATTCTAGCGAAATAAAGTTGGCCTATGTCTGTTTAAATAATGTCGGCCAATCCCTCAAATGTAGATCATAGTTCGGTATGTTTTATTATTATGTAAGATTTAGATAAAGAACTAGCCATTCATGCTATAATAGTTCGAAAGTAGATGATGTAAAATGAATAATTTGAAAATGTCATTCAAATTACTCTATTGCAAGCCAAGATATTAACCTTTGAAGGTTTGACAGACGTGTGCAATAATTTCAACCACCGTACTGGTTGATCGAAGCTAAGTCTCGGTCCTCCATATTTGATTAAATCAAAGTATCGCTGAACCATTCTAATCTATTTAATATCGGAGAAATCTGATGCCATCGAGAGTTGATTAAGGCCTGGATCAGTATCAATTAATACTTTAGAAAACATTTCAGGCCTAAAGAAAGACCTGCAATAGGCAGATTTAGCTCTTGCATAATGCATGTTTAACATTGCAAAGTTCTGCACAAACCTTGCCTGAAAAAAATACTTATCAACAAATTAAATTTGAATAACTCCATATAATTAATCGTACCAGCCAATATGGCCGTTATCGTAGACAGTAAGAATGAGACGGCCTCTACATATAAATTAATCAACAACTAGTCACGATGTGGATTAAAAGATTAAGGAATAAATGAGAGATTGGTGGAACTAATTTTCACTCCAAGACAAACTGACAAACAGGGAAGATGATAACCCAGGAATAGAACATTTATTATCATAATAAAAGTATGTACACATGTTGGACTTTCATAATTTACAAACAATATTGCCTAATCACCAAGACCAGAAACTGAACTTTTCAACAGCATAAATCAGAGCTGTAAACAATTTTAAGTATTGTCTGATATTTTTTAAGAAATAACGCCATAACTGTACCGTCGGAAACTTAAGTGAAAACTCATTTGTTTGATCAATGATTCAATCAATGCATTATCTTTAAATAGATTAGCAAATTAGAAATATATGAAATCAGTCGCTATCATAATGGCAAAACGATATACTTGAAATATATGCAAAATACTGGGAAATAGATATTTGTCGCCCAAATTAGTATGTCGTACAAGCCGCGATTATGAAGAACCCTTACAAGGCAGGGCAAAGCATTATAAATTTACGCACTGCGTTGCAGCGGCTTGCGTTATAATGATTAACACGTGTGCTTACTGTGCAATTTACGATTATGATTTTGAACTGTACTGGCCATTAATGATATTCTTTCAGTTTGGTAGGTGTACAAATGGCCTAATTGTGGGTCGACTTATGGGGTAAAATATTGTCAACGAATGTTAGCTATTAGTCTGTCAAGTGTTCCATTCCCAGACTTATACGTGACAAGGAATAGGGCCGCCTATCTGGTATTCTGGGTGTTCCCCAGTTTCCGACACAATAGCAAATTACTGAATAAAGATTTACCTTATATATGCTAGTCCTGAAATGACCTTTTTGTGTTCGGTGGACGTTAAACCTTCTATTGTAAATATGTTACCGTTCGTACTAGAATTTCAAAATACGAAGTGAAATTTGTTTACATCGGTTTCAGAGCTAACACAAACGATGTGGATGGATTTAGTCGTATTAGGCGAACTTGGAAGCTCTCATCTTTATTGTGTGATGACAAAACAGTTAAAAGGTTTACGAAATGTCAGTGGGAAGAATGGCCGTAGTTACAATAGACAGGGTCGTAGTTAATGTTTTTAAAATTATTTAAAAGTTTAATGATGATTTATTGGAAAATAAATGTGCTAATGTTGTAGTGCTGTAATTACGAAGGTTACGGTAATAATAAATAGACGTAGATTGTTCTATACTTATTTTCTCCACCACTAATGCATCTACAACATTAAGTTATTCCCAATAATAAAAAGCATATTTAAAGCACGCCAACAGTTTTAACAAAGTGTGTTCAACAATATGCAGTGTTTCTCATTAGTGATAGTCTCCCGGCGGTCCATTAATTTTAAACACTTTATTTTTTGCCCCACCGATATAAGATAAGGTAGGATTTTATTGTATCTTTGCATTCACCATGGACAGCATACAAAGTTTACAGTTTAAACAAAAGTTGATCATACAAGTGAACATTAATCGATTAAAATGTTATCTATTATAAATATTCTACAAGGTAACCTTTTAATACACGATTTCAAATCCATTGACGTCGTGTTTTGTTACAACAGGGTAAAGGCCCACATCCAGTAACATAATCTCTTATAATTTCAACATAGTGCCTATATTTCGAATATCAGAATAGTAATTATTATTCTAAATACATCTGAAATTCACGTTAATGAAGATGTACGAAACCCCCTTTTCTGATTATCTCCCTTTAAAGTAGCTAGGTCTCGGTTACTCCATATCATCCAAAGCCTTCAACATTGAAAACACGCATTATTTGTCAATTTAAATCAATATTGTTGATGCGGTCTTACCGGGAAAAGATGGGCTTCTGATATCCAATATTTAAGACAAAATAAACATTTTACCATTGGTACACGAATCGCGCAAAATAATGCGTTTAGGCGCCATTTGTAACAAGGGAATCGAAGAAGGAGGCTAGACATATTCCACAAGCCATGTCAAACGTTGAGGCCATATTCTTATTTGGAGAGCATGCGCAATAAATACTATAGGTGTAGACTGGAATAACCAGACTCTAGAGATTGCCATTCGATTGAGACTTCTGGCGTATTTCGCCGAACATAGCTGTTTTGAAATAAGAGTAAAAACGGAAATGATTGAATGTAAATCAGTTTATATACATTCACATTACATTATTATATGCGTTGCGACCCATCTGTGTAAATTTCTAGTTCCCAAATATTAGCGATTTAGCGCCTTTAAAGAATATTCTCTTTTGGGGATAGTTGTATGAAATGCTAAATCTCTCAAAATCTTTTCAAGTTTTATACAGCAGGATGCTATTTTGCAGTGTGCAGCTGACCATAAATATTGATAATTCATTGGACTCTCACATCAGATAATATCCGGATAGCTCCAGCCTCAAAGGCATAAGTATTTGAATGGTTGAACATTGTGACATTAATTTTCTGATCAGATCCATCAATCGGCTCTATGTTATTAAAATTAAGACATGGAAGTGATACTTTAACAATACTTTTTACATGGTAACCTTTAAAATAAAATACCGTACTGTATTCACATAGCTACAAATTTGCTAAAAATAGGTGAATGAAATGGCGGACATGGTGGGATTTTTGTTATGCTTACTTATTGTGAAATCGCTTTTTTTTGTTTTACTAAAGGTGATAGAAAATCGAATATAACTTGATGTAATTGAAAACACTGATACACGAGACAGTATAATATATATCCCTCGCGTATATGCCATATTAGTATGTCTAAAACTTTGAGTAATGTAGTGTTAAACTCAAAAGTACTATCGTTCAAATAATTTCATATGCTGCTATATTGACACATACACTACACATTTATAATTGTAATAGGCGTATGATTAATTAATCAGTATATTGAGGCTCGCGGCAAAATTATATATGACGTTATTGTTGTGTGTCAACAACACCATCACTGTTCGTATTCGGTCAGAGGTCAGAAAGAAGTTTCGCAAAACTGACATGTCAAGTTAATGGAGATATTTTTAGATTACAAAAACAAAAAGACGTCCCCACAAAAAATACGTGTAAGGCTATTTTCTTCGTGGTAATTTGGAAAGATCTTCCAATCGATGGCTATGTAATTAGAACCTTGGACGTCAAAGGGATACATCTTCAATATTAAGCCATGTTAATAAGTTTCTTGTAATATAATATAAATTTAATTATACTACTGACGTAAAAACATTAGATAATGCACTGGGCTGGTTAAGAGAAACATATATTTTAGGCCTATTCCATATTGACATATTAACCCTACAACACGTTGACTTATAAATTGGTTCTTTTACCGGTCGCTTCAATTAGAATGGAGCAACTGGAAAACATTCCTTGAGCTGTGCATGTAAGACAGTAACGGCGGTTTGTCTAACCCGGGGATACAAGGCTCGATCTTGATGTTTACCGATACAGTTCCTGGTGATTCCCGAGATACTCATACAGAAAACTTGCTATATGGAATACGACGAAGTGTTGGCGAGAACGTCACCGTTAGGTAAAATTAACTTCATAGCACCCGCTTGGTGCAGAACCCCAATACATTTCTATTTAAGATATCGATTCCCATTTACGGTATATATCATCCCTTGAAATATTTCGTTATAATATTAAATGTGGAGTCGCTGACAATGTATGTGCATGGACAAAAGATAGCTTTGAACAGCCGAAATAAATGAAGAATGGTATCTGATGTATAAGTACCGTATGTAGTAATTTGGAACAAAAGGTTGAACTTGAATTTCAAAATTACCTGTTTTACATAGTGCAATGTAGGAGTGAACACACTATTCAACGGTCAATTCTTTAAAAGAAAATTACGAGTACGGCGCACATTCTAATTAAAATGAGATGTTTATTTTTAATTTAAAAGTTTTTTGTTTCGTTTTATTTATATCGATTTAATCTTTTACCGAAACCAATTTGCTGTAACATCTGGCAAGTTTTATCATTGTTGTATTCTCGCTTGTGTACTGTAAACAGACAACCAAAACGCAACACGGACAGCGGAATCATACTAAGCGGAGACCTGGGGAATATAGCCAACCCCTCATGGTTCTTATGCTTTACATGGAATTATACATAAATATGTTAAAAACTGTAGCCTATATCGCGTTCACAAGGTTTCGGAAGGGAATGTTACGGATGGCTGACTATCGGTAGGGTTCGTCTTTTTATGATCCCAATGCTACACACCAAACTTTAAATAGATCCGTTAAAACTCTAGCCCCCATCACGTTCAGAAGATTTTCGGCAAACGGGTTTACTCCGGAACGGATGGTTGCGGAACGCTTAAGGGGCGTGTGGCTCTGTTTTTGGAACCTTGAAGTAGACAAAAATGATTCTAAAAGCACATATTCCTGTAAAGTGATTTATATTCAAATTTTAAAAATATTGTAATTTCTAATCAATTATGTTCTGTGAAATACGTGAACAGTTCAAATTGAACGGCAGTCGGTCGTTTACGCCTGCATAGTCAATTCTACATGTTTTTTAACTTAATATTTTGTCGTTTGTGATTCACATTGTGTTGTAGGATATGTTTTTATTTCTTCATTACAAAATTGCACCCGAAACCATAGGATACACGACTCGTGTACTGATTATAAAATGTTAATTGTGTCTTAAATATTGGATATTAGGATCCTACAGTTTCACGGCAAGACAACGACATAATATTAATTGAAATTGGTCAATATTGAATTCTAATTCGTGATTATAATTTTGAATATTATGGAAAATGATCAGAGACTTAGATCCTTTAATATCGATAGGGTTTGTTCGCGCATGAACCCAATGCTTCACATCAAATGGGAAACAAATGAAATGAAATGGGGTTTAACGTCCTACTGTTCTGCTCCTAAGCTGGACTAATGAAGACGGGCATACGCCATACAGTGTGCTATGAGGGAAATTTTGCCCGGGCAGCGGCACTATCGCCTACTCTTATATCGAATTCCAACTGCCAGGGGATCTTTTACGTGCAAGCCAATGTGTACACGGGACCTCGGTTTTTCGTCCCATCCGAACGACTAGACAGCTGTCCTTGTCAGGCCCTCCATCCTGCATCACTGACAAGGGGGAACCACGCCGGAAAAATGGGAAACAGATTAGTTAAAAATTGTGGCTTAAATCGCAAAGTTTTCGACTAAGGAGGCATAACTCTGGTGGATGATAGATCGTGGAACACTGGTTATCGATAGAATTCGTCCTCTCACGACCCCAATGCTTAAAAACAAAAAATACAATTTGAAAATAATATGTTTAAATTCGGGAACAGAAGGTCAAATGAACAAAAAAAAATCAAACTTATGCGAGATCTTTTCATCTTTAAAAGGACAATGTCACTCTTGCTGGTTTGGCAGCTCCAGAAAATAAAAGTATAACCTTATTCTAAGTACAAGATGTGTTTGTGTTCTACCTATTGTGTAAATTATCCATTAAGTCCTATTTTACTTTACCAGAGGGTTCGGAATTATTTTTAAATCCAAGTCACATTTGAAAAACTTTCCGTACACCTTTTAAAATCATCTGAGAGCCATTTCTATCAGGGGAGGTAATACGTAATAAGGTCTAGATTTGATTGACATCCTGTTCTAAGCATAGCTTTCCGTGACGTCATAGCGCCTGGATATCTCCCGTGGTGGCGCTACTGTCTCAATTAAATAAATACATAAGTTCAGCGAAAGTGTGAAAGGAAATGATGATTAAAATGACTTGGATTACCATGCAATTAATTTAAGCATCCTGGACAGTCCGTCCGTGGATGAGGGATCACGTGGCTAAGTGGGTAAGACACTGGCTCGCTAGCCTGGAGGTTGGGTGTTCGATCCCTGCATTGGCCGAGAAAGTTCACCCAGATTTTCTGGCGTGGATTCCTCTTGTCAGTGATGCAGGACGGAGGGCCTGAGGGGGACAGCTGTCTAGTCGTTCGGATGGGACGATAAACCGAGGTCCCATGTACATATTGGCGTGCATGGAAAAGATCCCTTGGCAGTTGAAATTCGATATAAGAGTAGGCCGTAGCGCCGCTGCCCACTGTATGGCGTATGCCCGTCTTCATTAGCCCAGTTTAGGAGCAGAACAGTAGGACGTTAAACCGCATTTCATTTCATTTCATTTCCGTCCGTGGATAATCTATTTGTATAGTCTCTATCATCCAGAAAAAAATATTCTCAACATTTGAAAATAATAACAGGTCATTGGCGAGAATATCCGGTCTTTTACATTATCATAAAGTCTAAGGGAGATAACTAGTCCTGAAATAAGATGTTGATATCCATGAAATTAATTTATGAATATCATTTCAAAACATCCATTTGATTGCATGCCAGGTCAATATCCAACACACTTATTTTTTTTATTTTAAAATGTTCTCTTCGTTGGCCATATCTATGTTTTTTAATTAATCCTAATTCGTTGTCACGATTCATGTTTGTTTATATTAATGCAAGAATTGTGGAATTTATTGCGGGAAGGGGCACAACTCTTCCTTGTCTTGGCCAAAGAGGGACACAGCTAACCAAATATTCCTATTTCTCTCCCTTTTCCATGGTGATTTTTGTTGACTTTTTGATGTAGAATTGAGGAAAGGGGTTTGAAAATACATTTTCTGCCAGGTTTTGGTGAATATTCTTAATTTTAAGGCGGAAGGATACAAGAGTTGAGAGGTTGGTTAGGTTGAAATTACATGTTTACTTGTCTCTACTTATCTCAAGTTTTTCATGAAGAACCTCATACGTGCTTTAGGGCAAGGGGTTGCCACATGTTGCTCCATCTGTGGTAGAAAGCGTTCTACCTAACGAAAATTTGGGGGAAAGTTAGATCTGGTCTAAGATACGAGAATTGACAACATTAAAGTCAATGGGGAAATCTTTAGTGGTCTGTGGCCCGATACTGGATAATCAACCACATTAAACCCCAAACTCCCGGTTACGCATGGGCAATGGACTTTTCGTCAAATATTGACAACGGTCCCAGACCCGCCATGAAGACTGGGAGGTTCTGGGTAACCGACACTACTATTTGTATTGTTTACAGATATAGTCTATATCACGCTGGTGCCAATCGTCTAAGATATAAATGAGGTTCGAGTTCGACATGGACAAGTGTTGATGTTTTCCGTCGATAATCATGCCTAGAAAGAGGGTGGTTATTGATTTGGCTAAGAAGCGCATACAAGAGGGGTATCAGAAACCAAATTCAACATATTCTTACAAGCTTATATTTGCCATGGGAAAACATCTTTTTTAAAAACATTGTTTATAATGTATTTATAAAAGACACAAAATAATGCTTCTATTTTTTTGCAATACAAGGGCTGATCTAGTGGGGGTGCACCCGGCACACATCCCCTATGTGGATCCAGGGGGCGCATTTTAGAACCGGATTCTTGTTTCATATCACCGGAAATGGCATTAAAAACTTTTCGAAATTTTCTGGAGGAGGCCACCTGGCCTTCATGCTCACAACGTGCGAGTTTGTCACCCGTCTGTACCCCCTATCCATGGTCTCTGAACCTGCCTTTGAAATTTTTAATTTTCCATTTTATTCCTTTCTTTTATTACTGACTTTCTTTTAATCTAGTTGGTTAAATAGCCCATTGAGCTAATGTTTATATAAGTAACCTGCATTTAAATTATGACAAGATGAGGCTGATAACCCAAGGTTTGTCATTTTGTTTGACGATCATCATTTCAATGGTTTCACTTCAGTTTGCAAAGATCCCAGAAATAACTTTCACAATTTCAATCTTTCAGGTACCACAGAAAATACTCTTAAGAGAGCATCAAACTGGGCTTTTGCACCAATGAAACTAGCCAAACATTATGGTTTCCTGTTATCCTTGCTATATAATAATATGGTGACGGTCCCATGGCCCAAATTCCAGTCAAATCTACAAACCTTAGAATCGGCAAATCAGCACCGATGGCAACGCGGACCAGACTGCGTACGCTCGTCATATTACGGTTTCCCACATTTTAGTACCCTGAGCAACTATGTTACCTTGGACGCTACCCTGCAAAAGGCAATGTATCTTTATTTAAGGAAACGAAATGGAATAGGCCTACTAATAACTGATCTCGTATCTCCTACCCATACTGGACTAAGTCTACTATGTGTCTGCGATATCACCCTAGGTGGGAACGGGCATTAAACTTAATGTTTGTCATCTACATGACGCATTTCCTAACGGATCATCTTGAAACTTTGCATATTTATTCCTAATACCCTAAGGATCACGCCTATTGTTTTTGGTGCATGCCCAAACCTCACGTCCATTTTGTGTTTCTGTGTGTCGCCTACAGACCTTAACTCTGAATGGATCGTCTTGAAAACTTTTCATACTTATTCCTTATACCATAAGGGTGACCTCTATTATTTTTGGTGCATGCCCGACCGTCTGGGACAGACCCACGTCCAGTTGTGTGTGTGTGTCGTCTTCAGGCCGCAATTTTTAACAGATCCTTTTGAAACTTTGCATTCCTATTCCTTATACCCTAAGGATGATTCATATTGTCTTTGGTGTCTTGGAACTTGGTATAAGTATTCCTTATAGTCTAAGGACGGCAACTATTGATTTTGGTGCATGTCCCGGCTCCAAGGGGCAGAGCCTCGCCCAATTTGTGCTGATAGTTTACTGGCCGCAATTTTGAAAGGATTGTCTGCTAACTGGGCATATGTATTTCTTATAGCCTAACTAGAACAACTGTTCATTTTGGTGCATATCCCAACACCCCCCCCCCTCCATCCCACCCGGGGAGGAAGCAGAGCCACGTCCTTTTTGTTTTTATAGTCTGAAGACCACAATTCTGAATGGATTATCTTGGAACATGGTATGCTTGGTATCTTGGAAATCTGCTTATTTATTCCCTGGAGCAGCGTCACACCCACGTTTCGTTAATATTTAGTCTGTAAATTTGACAAAACCCAACACCTAGCCTTCTTTGCCTCTTGTCATTAGTCATTGCAGCCATTTCATATTTCATTCTCTTCATTTTAAAAAATACCATATCAATCAAAGCAGGAATGTGGACGTATATTGCAGCGGTAGCGATGCTCTTGTAAACCAGGTAATTTTTAACTACCCGCCGTCTGCAATACCCACGCCTATGACATTAGTCCTAGATGAAATCTTTCGAAGGATATTATGAAGTTACTCTTTGTAAAGAAATACAATTCTCTGGTCTGTTACCACAACATAACTTCTCAATATATGTAGGCATAACTCCACATATGTCACAGGAATTGGATTTGGTGATTGGCTTGACTGTTGATTCGCTTTTTCTTCCGAAATATCAAACAAAATTAAAGGCATTATTTCAGCAAAGGACAACAAAGGTCTCCTTCATCTATCTACTTCTAGCTTATTTACCATTTTCTAAAATTTGAAAACTGTGTTAGCAATTTGTAAATAATTATCCCCTAGCTCATATATTGTGTAAATATTTTATATAATTATTATCAGAAATGATCATATATATTTTTGTATTTCCATGTAAATACATAAGTTGATTTTTTTATGCAATTAATTTTTTATATATACAATTATTTATAAGGAAATAGCTGCTCCTCATGAGCTTATATTTTTCGTTTTTTATATAATTACACGAAAGTGTGTAAAAAATAATCCATCGCGAGTTTACAATTATTTTCATGTAAATATTTCTATATTCTATAATCATTAAAAATTTGTTTTTTTTGTAATTATTCTTCTATTTGCTGTTTTGTTTATGTGTAAATATTTTACGACTATTACAGAAAGTTTCTTACTTTGAGTCGCCCTGTTCGTTCCTTTCGTATCATGACGTTGTTAGATGTAATTGCAACTTCCATGTAGATTTAATTGTCCTTGATGTAGATGGTGCTGTTCATTTTGAAGGAGGTGTAATGAATCTAATGATTCCACCTGGCATGTCCGACACAAAAACGGTAGATCCCTCCCAGTTTTAACTTACCTCAAATAGATTGCTTTCGAAATAACCGTAAGACCAAAATGCAAGTAAATAAATAAGGTTTTCCAGAATTTATTTAAAAGTCTAGCCAATATAATAATTAAAATTAATAATTACACACAAGAATTTTTTCTCATCTGTCTCATGTGTCCATTTACTGCAGGAATCATAAGTAACACAGTTGTCACTGGCAGCCATAATTGAGTACCAGGATCAGGACTGCAAAATTAAATCGTATGAATGATATAATTTAATATTACTCATAACTATACTTTGCGGGTTAACTTGAATATAATCGTTTCTATGATCAATCAATAATAATTAAAAAAAATGCAGCTAGGTGCAGGCATAATCAAAGCTAATAATGGGGCCAATCATCTAATTTTAAAGATAATCTGACTGGTCCATCAATTAGGTAACCAGGCAAAGCCAGTGATAATCAATTTATCCGAGTCGACGTAGATGATGTATGATCAACAATGACAACGGGTATCCAAGTTCTAATCATTCATTGCGCCATTCGTTCCCGATTTTGAAGCTATGACAGTACGTGTATAAGTAAATAATCGTAAAGAATATAAACTTACCGGAAAATATGAAATTAATGTTTGGGATGAATCGTGACGTTTACTCCTTTTTTAAACTGTCAGCATGGCGAGAAACGAGCTGTCAATGGTGTAGTTGATGTTAAACGCATGCGCGACAATGGGATTCTCGCTTTTCAGGTTTGTAGAATGTTTTACCAGTTTCATTGATAGTGAAATCAGCATCGGGCTACCTGAAGTTTTCCATTTTTTTTAAAAATAGGGTTGATATGATGAAATATATAGTACCGATAAATTGAAATATTGTATAATAGTATAATTTATTGACCAGAATAAAGATTGGGACACTTTATATAGTTGCAGTCGAAGTGTAATTGACATTTTAACATGTGGCCCCGGAGGGTCCACAAATGCATCTAAGATCTTTCGATTCAGTCTTATTCGTTATGTTAATTTTCATACAAATCCGTAAAACATTTCGGCCTCGAGAGGGTCCACAGACTTGGTACATATTCCACATTTTGCGTAAAGGGCGGGGGCATGTCTCATAGCGCACAATTCACATAGTGCTCAAATGCGCTTTACAAAGTATGTAGTATAAACAATATAAAATAAAGTACAATACAATAATTAGAAATAAAATAAACTAACATAAAATAAACTTATACATAAAACTCTACCTGGATTAAAATATAAATTATAAAAAAAATTCTTTAGTTATAAATCAAAAGCTTCGTTAAATAAATAAGTCTTAGTTTTAATATTTTTCTTAAAAATTGTAATTGATGTATAATTTCTGATGTTAAAATGTAATGAACTTTTGGTGCCTCAATACTGAATGCTCTGCACCTATTGTTATTAGTCTTGATCCCTGTTGGCATAACAGTAAACAATCATTCAGACGAGGACCTCAAAGCTCTAGTGGGTGTATAAATTTGAATCAAATCGCGTAAGTATGAAGGAGCTGAACCATTGAGATATTTAAAAACTAAAAGAAGCAACTTACACGCGATTCTAAAACGAATGGGTAGTCAATGTAATTGAATTAAATAGGAGTATTATGGTCAGTATGTTTAGGTTTAGTGACAAGTCTAGAAGCTGAGCTTTGAACCATTTGAAGTTTGTGAATTAAATTATTAGCTAAGAGAGAGTTACAGATGTCCAGTCTAGAAGTACACATGAATTTACAATGGTTTATATACCATCAGGGGCTAAATTTGAACGAATTTTAATTGTTTCTGAGATGAAAGTAACATACTTTACAAATATTGTTGATTTGAGTGCTCATGGTCATAAATTTTTTTTAAAAAAACTGGTTTGATAACGTGAGAGTTTATTGATATGTTAATATTACTTTCCAATATCAACACGGACGATTTGGATCCAAAAAGAATGTTCATGGTCATAAAATTGTCAAAAATAAACCCCACCAATGTTTCTGGTAGACTCAACTGGTTTGATAATGTGATATTACTTTCCAATTTCAACGCAGGCGATTTGGATCCAAAAATAATGTACTCTGTCTTATCGTCATTCAATTTTAAAAAGTTAACAGACATCCAGGATTTAATTTCCGATATACACATTTCCTTTTGTTGTTTTGAATAAATAAATGAGACTTGCTTAAAAGCAATATAGAGTTGGGCATCGTCCGCGTAAAAAAAGTGAATGTCTAGACCACATGTGTGAGAAATGCCTCCGAGGGGTGTTGTATACACCGTAAAAAGAATCGGCCCTAAAATTGAGCCTTGAATGACTATAGTGAAGGTCCTTGTGCTCAAAGAATTTGTTATTTATCAATACTGCCTGACGTCTTAAATGAAGATAAGATCGAAACAGTGCTACATAAGAGCCAGACACTCCAAATTCAAAATGGAGACTTAGATAGTAACATTTCATGATCCACCGTATTAAATGCGGCGAACAAATCCAGACCACCATCACGCAATTGTTTTTTGTCCATTGACATCAAGATATCATTTTCAACTTTTAGTAGATTTGTTTCGGTTGAGTAAAATCTTCTACATGTATATGCACTTTGGTACTTATCTAACAAATTATTTTGAACGGCAATGCACTTTTTTTTCAAGGCTTTTCGATTTGACACAGGTCTGTATTTTTTGTCGATTGTCTTTATAAGGTAAGCTATTTTCGTAGGTTGTGGAAATATACCTACCGATTTGAAGAGAAGTGTTCACAATATCCAATATTGTTTTTACTTTTATTATTTTTTTTTATCTTTACTTGTTTTGTTATTTAATCTTTGTAAATAGCTTCACCATGCAACTCCTATATATTTATCCTAAGTTTACTAAATGTCATTGTGCTTGATAACGATAAGACGATACTTGTCGAAACGTCGTGCTTTTAGAATAAACCAGTGATTGTTTCCCATAAAAACTGTGTTCTGTTAATGTGTTTCCCAATCGCTAAATGCCACTTAAAGATTAGATTTGAATGATTAAATTTACTGCTCTCAATGTGGTTGCGGATTTCTGAAACACGAACAGAAATTGGTTGTCTGCATTTTCGCCAAGCAGTACCACATTGCCTGGCTTCGTTACATGTTTGAGGAAATGAATCTGGTTATTATACAATAAGTCAGAGGTAGAGTTTAATCTGATCATACTTGACAGTTGATCAGTGAGTTTGTTTAATGACGAGAAATCACTCACCACCTTGACAAGAGAGAAAGAGAAAAATGGGGTTTAACGTCCACTCGACACAAACTAGGTTATTTCGGGACTAACATATGGTTTAATTTTTTATTTCAATACTTCGCTTGCGCGTAGGGGTCTTTAGCAGTGGAAGGAAACCGGAGAACCCGGAGAAAACCCACGAAGTTGGACAGGCGACCCTACTTCTGGTCACGTACAACAGGGGATTCGAAACCACGGCAGTTGACTCAATGACAGGCCTTATGATACAGCGTGTACGTGCTAACCATTCGATCATCCCCCCCCCCCACAAAGAGTTTGTGTCAATGATACGCATGAATGATATATTAGAGACTTTTGGCAATCGGAATTTTCCCCATCCGTATCACGTATCCGTATCGTATACGTGATACGTTACGTCCATGTAGTTTTAGAGTTTTGGCAGATTTTCACGTCGCGTACGTATGTATCGCTGAGCTGAGCTTAGTTCTATTACAGCATGATGGCAGATATCTACCAATATGACCATCAATACTAGTTAAGTACATAGCCTACAATTTCCCGGAGTGAGTGAAGTCACTCGACAGTCGCTGGGCTATTAAAAAAAATGAATGTCGAATCTTATTTAAAAAGTATGGACTTCAACTCGACAGGCCCGTAGCCAGAGAGGTGAAAGGGGGGGGGGGGCATGCCCCCCTCCCCGAAAAAATGTTTTGCCGCCCCGAAAAAAAATTTGCTGATCATAGCTCTAAAATACCTACTGTAGACTGTGCCGGGTGTGCCCCCCCCCCCCTAAAAACTTCACTGCCCCTCCGAAGCTAGCAAGCTGGCTACGGGCCTGCAACTCGATAGCAATTTTTGGTTTCACTAATGTATCATTTCAGAAAGTTTATACCCCTTTACCATAGAATAAAATCATTTACAGGTTTGCAAAGTCCCACCTCCCTGAATTTAGCATGTAGATCAACCAGCATGCAGACAGACAGACAGACAGGAAAAGTATGAAAATTCCAAGAAACCCCATCAAAAATAATGATTTTAAATTCCAGTCTTTATCATTGTTAAAATGACATCAAATATACACCTTCGTGTTCTATGATACACATAGATTCATAAAAACGCTACAACGATACAACAATTCAGTGTAAAGTAGCACAAAAGACGGCAAAAAGACGACAATGTTATACGGACCTTTTCCGTATGAAAGTTGTTCGATACGTGCTGCCGTATCACGTATGAGATATACACACACATTGATGACGTCACACACAAAATCCATACGCGATACGGACCAGGAATTTACGCCTGCCAAAAGTCTCTATTGTGGCTGTTAGCAGCCTTTCTATATTCTCGGTTTGTCGGGCTGTGAAAGCGACAAGTCGCGGCACGACAAGTCGAAATAATTATATCTTGTCGGGTTGTGAAAGCGACATGTCGACAAAACCAACCCGATAATCGTCGCCTTGATTTTATGGACTTCGACTGACTCATTCACAACCCGACAAGGCCACAACATACAATTATTTCGACTTGTCGTGACGCGACTTGTCGCCTTCACAAGTCGACAAAATACAATTATTCGTCTCGAAAGTCAATCAGTGCGCATGAGAAAACATTCTTCGGTTAAGTATGGAAGCCTAATCTCGACAAGGCAAGGGGGCAATTATTTAGCGTTTGTTTTTGCTTGTAACACCTAAAATTTACAAAGATAGGATTGAAAAGATCGTTTGGTTAAAATTAGGAATCTATATTTCAGGAGAGAGTCGGTTTTATATGCTGATATGTATGCTTTCAATATATCTATCATAATTGAGAATACACTATGCTATCTTTGCTATTATAAAAATATTTAAAATTTAAATCCCAATTTCTTAGGATGTTTGTGGATTTTTCTAGTCATCGTATGTGCACCACACTGCGATACGCTAAAGCTTTTTCTTGGTCACATCCCAATTTCAAGTCTCCCTGTCTTTTACCAAAAACTAGGAGTCACGGTATCGCTGGTTCACTAACCAGAAGGGTTGCGTCCAGCATGATTTCACCAATGTCCAGTGTTGGCACGTAATGGAACCTTTGTCATTTGGAATTTTAAATATATATGAGTAGGCCGTGGAGCCGCTGTCTGGACAAAATTTCTGCAGAAAATGAGTTTAAAATAACCATGGTTTGTCCACATGCTGGCTGAAAAATTACCCGGACTTTTCCAGCGTGGTATCAGCATGTCAGTGGTGCAGCACGTGGGTGGGGTGGGGATGGAAGGGAACAGTGTCTAGTCTTTCGGATGTTACGGAAAACCGTGGTCACATGTAAGCGTAAACGTAATGGAACCCTAGACGGAGTAGATCGTATCGCCGCTGGCTGGGCAACAATTACCTCATAGTACACTGCATAGCGTATGTCCGTCTTCATTGACGCAGAAAAGTACCTTGCTGTATAAACTAAGCCGTAGTTTAAATAAACGTGGTGTGTC